AAAAAGTAGAATGACCTAAATACACTAATTGTAATTCCAGTTCTGAGGGGGACATTATAAATGTGGATATCATAAGTGGACATTTGGGGATCTTTTTCCAAATTTCCAAAAAGATATGGCTAAATTAACTTCCATCGATTTGAAGTTCTAGAAACAAATAATGAAGTGTTTTTTGGAAGTATTAAGTGTTTCAGAAATACTATACATCTGAATGATATAATTTAGTATCTATGACTTTTCCTCTTGATATTTTTAGGGTAACTATTTGGATCCAATGTATTGAAATACAAGGAAAATTCTATCTCATGAGATTGTTTTTCTATTTATAAACATTAAACACACTCTGTATTACTTAAAATATGTGGATATTTACGCTTGATAGTACACCTGTATAGAGGTTAGTAGAGATGATAGGTTACCAATTCTCAGGTATTTATAAAATTGTCTCATTAGAGTTAATCTAAAAGAGCTGAAGTTATTACATATAGAATTGAAAAACGCCAAATTTGCCAAACTGCATTTCTGCAAAAACTTAGCACTAAAAATATTAATAATTCTCAAATCAGTGAATGGAATGCCTTTTCTGTTAATAGCTGTCTTTGAGAAATTACAGTGAAGCATTGTTAATTTGTGTTTGTATAAGGTAAATATTTTATAAGATTTTAGGCTTTGAGAATACTAAAGCTATGGTAACACTTGCCATTTTACAGTGTGGCAAGACATGATTGTTTCCATATAAAATATTAAAGAGATTTAACAATTTTTTTAAAAAATATTTTTGAATCATATGGCATAGGTTTTCCTTTTCCTTGGTATAGTAAATAAAGTTCAGTGCACATGCTTTAGAATCAGTGTTACTATAAATGCATAGTTTTCTAGTTAAATCATGTTTCTTGTTGGCAGAATTTTACTATGCTTTTATTTGTTTTCTTAAACAACCTGAACACATGGATTTTAATTTGTACAAGGTTTTCAAAGGCTGATGTATAGCCATTTTCAAAAAGATTATAAACTGTGAAGGGTATAGGGAGGGAGAGAAGAGGGAAGAACATCTAAGAGGACCCACCTTTCTTTGCCCTGATTTTCTTTACTGTAAAGAATTGTCAAAAAAATTAAAATCTGAAGCATTGAAGACATTTGACAAATAAAATACAATCATTAGTAACCACCAGCTGGGTCCGCCTCAAACATGTAATAAGCTCTATATCTAATGAAGCCAATAAAATGACAGCATGAGCAGTTCCCAAGTGCCTGTTTGTCTAATGCTAAAGAACCTCGCACCTTGGCTAATGTTTATCACTTATCAGTACTATGGGTAGATGAGCTTCTCTAACCTTTATGGATTCACAGTTCTTAACTTAATGGTTTGTTTATGAAACAACTGTTTTTACTCAGCAGCAGCCATTTCAACATTTTTTAAATAGCTACTAAGTGAAATGTTGTGCTTAAGGTTATTTGAATTAAGTAGTCTTTTTAAGTGCTGAGTCTCTAATAGAGAAAGTTAAGTAAGAAATCCCTAATAGGCAAGAACAGGACTGCTGCCTTTTAGCCAAAATTATGAAAGTATATTGTAGTTAGTCTGCCTATGTTTATACCATTTTGAAATAGATGTATGTAGGCCATAAAGGAGTATTTTAAGAAGTAAAATAATACTTTCCTTACCATTTCTAATATACTTTTTATGTTTTAGAAAAATCAATCCATTTTTATATTAGAGTAGAAAAATAGTAATGTGAATATCGCAAATATTTCTTGAGAACTTGAGCACTGGGCTAAGCTCTATGAAGAATACAAAAAACAAAGTTCCGGTCTTGCTTTAAAAAGCTAACAGGAAAATTGCCTTTAAGATATTTATATGGAGCCCAGCCGGGCGTGGCTCAGCGGTTGAACGTCGACCTAGGATCCAGGAGATCGGGGTTCGATTCCCGGTCGGGGCACATGCCCGGGTTGCGGGCTGCAGCTGATCAATGACTCTCTCATCATTGATGTTTCTATCTTTCTCTCTCCCTCTCCCTTCCTCTCTCTGAAATCAATAAAGATTTTTTTTTTTTAAGATATTTATATGGAACAGCAAAAAATAAAAATAAATTTATTAACTGTTGAATTGTATAGTACACATTAGAAGTGGCTATGAGTGTTCAGAGAAAAGGAGAATCCATAAAGGCTTGAGCATTCAAGGCATTGGCACTTGACTTGAGCCTTGAAGTCTACATAGGATTTAAACTAAGGAGAGGAAGCAGGATCAACTGCATGAGCAAAGACAAGAGCCAACACAACAGTGGCACCAGAAAGGAAGGAATCATAAGAATGATTTCAAAGGAACAAATACTAGGACTTGGAACCAACTGAATAAATGCAACATGCAAAAAAAAAAAGTAAAAGGAAGGTCCAAAAACTAAACCAAAGTCTAGGTTAAAGAGAGTCAATATTGCCATTAATAAAGATGAGGAATTTGAAAAGGGCAACCAGTTTACAATAAAAGATAACATTTAATTTGAGACATATTTGACTTGTGGTATTATTATTTTGCAGCACAATATCCAAATGGAATTTTTAGTATTCAATTAGAGATGAGGGGTTAGAGCATACTGGAAAATATAGAACTAGAGATATAGATTTGATGGTCGTCAACATAGACGTAATTGTCAAAGCTATTAAATATAAATAAACTGTTATATCTTCCTTAGAAAGAGAAGCAGATGACTAAAAGCTAAATTTTGGGAAAAGGCAAGAGTGTTAGAGGAAAGCGAAAGAATGGAAGAGTGTTAGGAAGGGTGTGATCAACAGTGTCACAAGCTGCAATGTCAAGGGGAAGAGTTCTGAGAAGAGGAGGTTGAATTTGGCAACAAAGAAGACAAGATGAACTTGGAAACAGTAGAAAGGAAGGTTCATTTATCTTGTGATAAATGCAAAGAGGGAATAAGAAAAATAAGAATTTTTAAAATAATAGAAATAGTCCACAAATTTTGGTGGGTATATGTGTCTATATCCTCTACATATTTGATATCTAGTAAAACAATTACAGCTGGAAAAAGTTAAAATGGCAGCAATCTAATGGAGGTAGGAACATGTTAATTGACATTGCATCTAAAGGGCATTTAAACAAGATACGTAAATAGAGCTCTACTTTAAAATGTATCATGTCTACCTTCTAAAATGAGACCTATATATATTCCACAATATGAATTTACTCTTTGTGGAATAATAAATTAAATTACATCTTTTTGACTAGTGATAAAGTCACTATTTAGCTAAATATAATTTAAATGAATATGATTTTTGCTCTACTAAATATTTGTCATGTTAATATTGATTTCTGAGTTAACAGACAGTTGCAAATATATATTTAATGCTAGAATGTCAGTTTCTCAAACAGCATATGAAAGTTGCCATAAAAACTCATGTGCAGGGTGTACTATTTTGTTTTTAAGTTTTTAAGTTTTTAAGTATGTTCTTGTGTCTATGTATAGATTTAAAGGGAATGTTATTATGAGAATATTATGTTCTTATTATATGTTGTACTGACACCTGGAAAAGTAATGGAAGTATTTTTTTAAATAAAATTAAGTTCTGTTTTCAATTGCTAATTAATTTTCTCAACCATTTTAAAATATAGAATTTGTTGTTATACAATACATTTTAAACATATAGGTATAGTATACTTATGCACAGATATGTGCCTTGCTACTAGATGCTAAGTAGAGAGTCTTTGTGTTTAAGACTGGCTTGTGTCCTTGAAAAGAAGCTATTATCATAATAATATGAGGAGAATATAATATTCTCACATAGAGTTTTAATAGGACATTGGATTCTTAAGGTCTTTAAAGTGACCTTAAGACCAAAGTGCCATAAATCAGTTAAATCAAACAGTATAGTAGCTTACTATTTAACAAACTTTTATTAAACACCTGCAAGATTCCATTATGCTACTAAAAATAATGGAAGATAGCAAAATAAATAAATAGTAGTTTCTGTTTTCCAGGAGCTTAATATAAGGCAAAAAGAACTTAAAGATTGCCATTTGAATTTTGGTTCAGCCCTTAGTAGTTATATAATTTTGGGCAGGTCATTTAATTAATTACTCTTTAGGAAAAAAATTTCTGAGTGTCAGCTTCTTTGTCTGTAAAGCCAGGATAGCAATACCTCTCTTGCAGAGTTGTGAAGTCTAGAAGTGGTAGTTTATTTACCTAGCACAGTATCTAGCTCATAGTAAGCCCATAGTTACTGGTAACTTACTATTATTGCCTACCTCACAAAGCGTTCTCCATAAATGTTAGTATCTTTTCCTTTTTGCTTACAACCCATCAATCACTAACAAAAAATTGTAGCCACTATGATATATCATCAACATGTAGGAAGTGACCTTTGTTTTATGCCTTCTGAAATTAACAAGTATACAAACAAAGGCTTATAAAATTCATTTTGACTTCCTAGTACAGATTTCAGTGAGCATACTGAAGAGAGTCACAGCTTTCAAGGCTGGGATCTGTTTTCTTAAAATGGGTTGAACATATACATAAAAGTCAATCATAAGGATCGACCGTTGAATTTCTGAATAGTAACTGATCATGAGTTGTTAAAGTCAATGGTTCCAAAGGTTTTATTAGTTTTTATTAGGAAAATTTTCATATATACACAAAAGTAGAAAGAATAGTAAAATCCCCTCACATACTACCCATCAGCCAATCCCAACAGTTATCAACTAAAATGGGTTTTAACAGAAACATTTCAGTCAAAAATTATATTTCCAGTTCTATATCAGTGTTTCTCTAATTCATTATTTTTAATCCCCTATCATGGATCTAGTTAATTTCTTTTACTATTAATTTGGGTAATAGTCAAATATTTATTCTCTATAAATATCTAAAATTATTTATAGGACACTTTTTAAAATCACAACATCAAAAGAAAAATGCATGGCTTTGTTTTTGTTTTTTAAAAAATGGGAGAGAGTTAAATATTCTGGGTAGAATATATTTTGTTCTGTCTTTGTTTTTAAGGTTTGGCTTGAGCAACAAGTTTGATACTGAATTTCCTTCAGTTCTAACAGGGAAGGTAAGTGAGAGTTTGCTTTGAACTTTTCAATTCTAAAAACATTGTTTTATGGCTTATTCGGTGTTTTGACAAATGTTTGACTCACTGGTAATGAAATCTAATAACAAGATGCCAGGGTACTTGGAGGCTGCATCATTAGTGACTGAAGGCTGTGCCTATGACCAATTATTTTGTTCATTGTCTGTTAATGCCAGCTATTATTTACTTGTTTAGTTTTTACAGTTTTGTCATTTTTCTCAGACCTGGTAACTATAACTGTTTTCCTTTAGGTCAGTAATTTCCAATGTTTTATTTTTTTTCTTTCAGCCATTTATTTTTATTTACAGTTTGTTTTGAATGCAAATCAATTCCATAACATGAGAAGTTACTGTGAATCAAAACATTAATACACAAACACAATGTACAATCCAAAATAGATGTACAGCATTCAGGTATGAAACAAAGCGGAATGTTCATTCACACATGGTAGCTTGAGATCTGTTGTATATGGTGTTCCTGGGTAAGTTTCTAAAGATGGGGGTAAAAATTACTTTGGTTATCAACACTACTGTGACCATGCAAGATACTAGAACGTCTAAGCATCAGTATGTGACCATGTGAACAAAAGACTTTAGGAAGTGTTTATCTTCAAAAAGGTTTCTGCGCATCGAGGCAGTTGCAAAAAGATTTACTTTCCAGAATCAAGTCCCCATTAGGCTTAGGATCATGTTCTAACTATCTAAAAATATTGACCAATAAAAGAAAGTGTTCCAAATGTGGCTATTCCAATCCATAGATTTTTTTAAAAAGTATGTACAGAAAGTATAAAAGTTTTTCTGAATTTAATGTAACTAAGGTTCCAGTCTTCTTTTACTTGAATTTATTGGAGTCACATTGGTTAATAAAATTACACAGGTTTCAGGGGTACAATTCTATAATACATCATCTGTATATTGTATTGTGTGTTTACCACCCCAAGTCAAGTCTCCTTTCATTACCATTTTCCCCCCATTTACTCCCTTCTACCTCCTCTCACCCCCCTTTCTCTCTGGTAATCACCATACTGTTGTCTGTGTCTATGAGTTTTTTCCCTTTGCTTAATCCCTTCACCTTTTTCACCCAGCCCACTATGACTTCACTTATATGTGGAATCTGATGAACAAAATAACCTAGCAAACAAAATAGAAACAGACTCATAGTTACAGAGAACAGACTGACAGCTGTCAGAGGGGAGGGGGTTAGGACCTGAGTAAAATAACTTCAGTCTTCATCTCCCAAATACCTTATTTACAGTTTTGGTTCCTTCACATATTCACTTTTTCAATTTTAAGATTTGTCAATTTTTTTTTAATATATCTTTATTGATTTCAGAGAGAGGAAAGGAGAGGGAGAGAGATAGAAACAGCAATGATGAGAGAGTCATCATTGATCAGCTGCCTCCTGCACGCCNTAATCAGCTGCCTCCTGCAGGCCCCCTGCTGGGGACCAAGCCCGAAACTCCGGCATGTGCCCCAACCAGGAATCCTAGGTCGACGCTCAACCGCTGAGCCATGCCCGGCCGGGCAAGATTTGTCAATTTTACCTTCAAAACAAATCATTTTTTAAATTGTAAGTATTCAATAATATGCAGAAATAAGAATTTTGAAATTAGTTGAGATTCGTGTATTTCAGCGCTTTGGAATTAGTTTAGTAAAATGAATCTGGCTCTCTTGTTGAATAGGAGTAGGTAATAAGTATATAAGCAAAATTTACTCATTATGCTTGGATTTGGAGTAGATTCCAATACATCATTGTCCTGGCACATATCAATTACTACATAAAAAGCCAAATGCACCAGGCCAGTGTTGCTCAGTGGTTGAACATCAACCCATGAACCAGGAGGTCACTGTTAGATTCCCCGTCAGGGCACATGCCTGGGTTGCAGACTCGATCCCCAAGAGGGGGCATGCCGAAACATCATTGATGTTTCTATCTCTCCCTCTCCCTTCCTCTCTCTGAAATCAATAAAAACGTATTTTTAGAAAAGTCAAATGCAGTGTCAAATCCAAAGCCTCAGAGGAAAGAGTTTGTTTCACAAGAGAACAGTGTGAGTGATAGTTTAACAGTGTAAAACTTTATTTAGAGTTACATGGGCATTAAATTAGTGCTGTGAATTTACAGTAACACCTGAAAAGTTCCTTCTAATGTACATATAAATAGAACCATTAATTTTGCATTACCTGTTTTATGGCCTTATAGCTTTAACAAACCAAATGAAAACTAACTCTCTTCCAAATCCCATCCATCCCTTATCTCTAGGTAAGATAAAATCTATTCATTTTCAATATAGAATCTTATGTGTCCATACTTGAGCCAGATTTAAGGAAATCATCTCTGAACTAATTTTGGATGTGTCTCTTCATCTTATACATGAAACTGCAGCAGATTTAATATCTACATTCATCATCTAGTCAAACCCTGCACATGCTCTTCAAACAAAATGAATCTGGGATCCTCAACATTTTCTGCGTCAATAAAATTAGGTGTGGAATTAGCGGATTCAATGAAGACCTGTTTTTTTCCTTGTCACACTGGAGGTCTAGATGCCATTTGGATTGGGTTTGGAAGATGGAGAAGTATAGATGATTCTTGGCCTGAGTCTTTTAACAGTAGAGATATAAAAGAGAGAACAAGATCACGAAGAGGATGGCTGTTGACTACAGAACACCACTTCTTGGTGGTGGCATTCCATGGACTTGGTGTAGTCGAGGTTTTGTGGGAGGGGTTACTGGAAGATGATTCAGCAGTTGTTTTATTTGAGAAAATCTGCGTGGGTAGGAGCAACACCAGAAGCAGTAGCTCCAGTTGGAGCCTGGCTACCATCTCTCTCCCCATGTCCTCTCTGTCAGTGTGTGGCTGCATCTCACTCTGGATGTGGAGTGGATGGAGAACCCCTGGCTCCAGGCGGGTGCAGGCAATCTAATTTCCCATGTTTTAGAGTGAACAAAGTTATCATTGTTCAACATTGTATCACTCTTTTTGAAACTATCCTGTGGTCTGATTTTGTTATACATCCATAGCATCAATTAGCATCAATTTTTTGCTTATTTTTCTACCTTTTAGATAGTATGAGTTTCTAAAATTGGACTCACTGCAATAAATTATCTTTCTGTTTCCTGGTTCCTCTACATTCAGTAATTTCTTCTAAGTTGGAGATATAGTAGTCAAAGACTTCTTACGTTTTGAAACAATGTTTTCCTACAGCAGTAATGCTAACTTCTCAGTACAAAGGATAAGGCTCTGACTAAGGCAAAAGGTTATTTACACATTTTTGTTACTTGAGAAATGTAGATGAAGAAAGAAAAAAGCTGTTATATTACAAAATACTCAATAATTTACAAATGGTTAAGAGCTGAGTGCTTGGTAGCAAACATGTTGATTTAGGCTTAAAAGAAGTTAACTTTTTGTATTTTGAGACCTGTAATTTAATATAATTCTGTCTCATTTTACTATTAGAATAATGTTATTTGTCAGTATATATTTTGGTCATATTTTAAAGTAATTTCATTCTATAAAGGGCTTTAATATGTTAGTGTTAATTTTTATCATATTGTAATTGAGAAAAGCAAGGTTCAAATTAGTATGTATAGTATGTATAATAAAGGGGAGAAATAAGCATATTAATAATTATATGAAGTACTTCTAAAAATTTGCACATGAAACTAATACAAGTGATTACTTTCATGGGAGAAGAGGAATGAGATGGATGGAGACAAGGGTAAGGATGAGACCAATGTATGAGTATCTTTTAGTATTGTTTTGATTTTTGAAACGTAACTATTGCCTATTCAAACCTTAATTTACTTTCTTAAATTTTTATTGAAATTATTGGGGTGCTATTGGTTAATAAAATTATATAGTTTTCAAGTGTAGAGTTCTATAGTACATCATCTGTATATTGTATTGTGTGCTCACCACCCAAAGTGAGGTCCCCTTCTGTCACCTTTTATCCCCCCTTTACCTTCTTCTGCCTCCCCTCACTCCCCTTTCCCTCTGGTAAACCTTAATTACTTTTAATTTATCCTGTCAATCCAAACTCTTTGAAAATGGGATAAAATACTTCTATTAATAGTAGCTTCTTTTTGTCATGATAAATTTTCCAACAGCTTACTCTCCTCACTTTTGTCCTATTCCCAGTCTTCTCCCCAGCTTCATTTGGGGCTTGAGGGGGCAGAAAAAGACAGCAGACTTATTTTTTCAAGGATTGCCACTGTGATCATAGTACATTCCATATAATTTAAACCTAAAAGGTATATTTTGTTTTTATTTTTTTATTTAAATTTTTTATTGTTGATGCTATTGCAGATGTCTCCCATTTTCTCTCCCTTTGCCCACCTCCACCCAGTCTTCATTCACCCTCACCACACTATTGTTTATGTCCATGGGCTATGCATATATGTTCTTTAGCTAATCCCTTCACTTTCCTTTATCCAGTCTCCCTCAGCCTCCTCCCCTCAGACATTTCTAAGTCTATTCCATGTATCCTTGCCTCTGCTTCTATTTTGTTCATCAGTTTATTTTGTTCATTAGATCCCATATATTAGTGAGATCATATGGTATTTGTCCTTCTCTGACTGGCTTATTTTGCTTAGCATAATACTCTCCGGGTCAATCCTTGATGTTGCAAAGGATAAGAGCTCCTTTTTTACAGACTCGTAGTATTCCATTGTTTGCTTACCACTGCTCTTTTTTGTTTATTTTTTACAAATTTGTTATGCACTCATCTACTGACAGACACTTGGGCTGTTTCCAGATGTTGGCTATTGTAAACAACACTACTATAAATGTAGGGGTGCATATATTCTTTCTGATTGGTGTTTCAGGATTCTTAGGATATATCCCTAGAAGTGGGATCACTGGGTCAAAAAGCAGTTCCATTTTTAATTTTTTGAGGAAACTCCATACTGTTTTCCACAGTGGCTGCACCAGTCTGCATTACCACCAACAGTGCATTTAAGGTACCCTTTTATTCATATCCTTCT